GGGAGCTAGGGAAAGAAGGGAGGAAGATAGCTTGGAAAGGAAGGAAGGAAGGAAAGAAGGGAAGGAAGGAAGGAAGGAAGGAAGGAAGGAAGGAAGGGAATCTGAAAAAAGGAAGGAAGGAGGGAGGGAGCTAGGGAAAGAAGGGAGGAAGGTAGCTTGGAAAGGAAGGAAGAAAGGAAAGAAAGGAAAGAAGGAAAGGAAGGAAGGGAATCTGAAAAAAGGAAGGAGGGAGGGAGCTAGGGAAAGAAGGGAGGAAGGCAGCTTGGAAAGCAAGGAAGGAAGGAAGGAAGGAAGGAAGGAAGGAAGGAAGGAAGGAAGGAAGGAAGGAAGGAAGGAAGGAAGGAAGGAAGGAAGGAAGGAAGTCATTTTTTTCTTCTAGGCAGTCTGGTCTCACACTGATTTTTAGACAGTACTTTAAGTCTATATGATTTTTAAAAAGATTATTGACTTCACTAATCTAGGATTCTTGTTGGAGGGCCTTGTTGAAAAGGCTAGAAGTATTCTAAATTAGTATTTCTTAACCTCAGCCAATTTAAGCTTTGTGGATTTTAACTCCAAGAATTTTGGGACTTAAAGTCCACTGATCATAAAGCTACAAAGAGTGTTTTTTTTAAAAAAATATATATGATGAAATAAAATAATTAGAATATACAATTTAAATAAGTGTTAATAAAAACAGAAAATAATATAGAGAAAAGAGATTAAATGAATTACATTTGAACAAATTAAAAATCTATAAATAAAGTATTAAGATAGAACTACCTAAATCTTTAACATATTATTAAATCTTTAAAGCCATATGGATATCTGTTGCTCCATCTTTTCAGGTTTGGTACAATGTATTTTAATACAATAATATTTACATAATATATTTAGATTCTTAATATTCTACTATTTAGGTATGTTAGATGATAGAATATAGATATTTTATCAAAATTAATTATAATTTCAGATATTAATGTTACAAGAATTCTGATTATTTGATTTTTCTTCAAAATTAAATATAATATTGGAAATGAAAATAAAAAATGAAGAAAAGGTATTCATAAATGTATTTGTTTTATAATTTGGTTTTATGCTTTATAACTTTATTGCAGTCATTAATCATAACAAGGGAACTGGTGTTCAAATATCCAACACTAAATTGATAATATCAGGGTAATTAGAAAAGGTACGTATAACCCAAGAATTTTGGCTGAAAGATAATATTAAACAGAAAAAGGTGCCCAAAAAGGAAAGAGGAAGAGGCAGAAAAAGAGATCT